GGGGAATGCTGGCTTACGTGGAGAGAATCCAGAGGGAAGAGAGAAGCAATGGAGTGGACACGCTGGCCCATCAGAAATGGTCCGGCGCCAACTACTACGACCGCTATTTGAAGACGGTTCAAGGGGGCATTTCGTCCACCGCCGCCATGGGAAAAGGCAAGCCAATCCAATCCAAACCAAACGAATTAGTATTATGATTTTATGAATTATCCAACTAACTTAACGAATTAGTATTGGTTTTGGGTTGCAGGAGTGACGGAGGAGCAGTTCAAGGAGTCGTGGACGAGGCAGGGAGCAGGGGACTTGGGAGAAGAAGGGACCGTGGTGGTGGCCAAGTCAAGGATGTGATTCTGAGCTTTGGTTGGATTGGAGAAGGGGAACACAATAATATGGCGTTGCATATTTTATTTCGTTGGTTGTTTGGGTCAACCCGTTTTTGGTGTCCAATAACCAAACTTTATTTATTTTCTACGTTTGTTGGTTAATGTGCTTCAATTTTAGTTACCAGCATTATGTATTGTCTTGTCGTCGTATTCATATTTTATTATCTGTTCAGTGAAGGCATCTTTTAAGGTTGGAAATCTAATCTTGAAGAACTATAGCAAAGAGGTCTTGCTTTTCTCGGAAGGCAAACTTCAAAAACTATAGAAAGAAAAACGGCGAAACTGAGTTCACTTTCTGGTACCATTTACTTCCATGGCTTCAAAACTGAGAGGACGATTATGATTGCTATAACCAGGAGTAGAATGATGGTAATCATAATGCGATTTCTTGATTTCCTCTGTAAGCTCTTTGCCGTCAGGAGTGTATCTGTTCCCGTCGTCACCTATGTCAAAAGAAGTTGCAGCAGTTTCAAAACAACTTCCTACTTGATCAAGTCAACTATGAAAAAACTAGGACCAATCAAAATAATTATAAGGACACCCTCCACCATGTAAACTGTTGTGCCACATTGACCAAATAGAGGTTCAAGTTCTGAGAAAATTTAGGCAGCAACCTGATTTTCTATGTTATCCAAAATTCTAGCTTGGTCCTTCACTAAAACTGCAACGTCAAGGTAAATCTGACCAAGAAAAGAGAAACGTATCAGACTACTGAGACTCCTGTATTGTTCTTCCACAGAAAATATGCATACCTGATGCAATTCCGGGAGCCTTTTCACAATTTCCTTAAGTGCGGTGTATCGTTCTTGCATATCTTCCATGGAATTGATGAGCTGCGTCAGTGTACAGAGAATTAGGACTCGTCATAGTTAATCAATCAAGTAGCAATAATGTCAAAGAAACAGAAAGAATTCAGGCACTTTTTTGTAAAGTTTGAAGCTATGTACTTTTTGATGTAAAATAAATCTAACTGAAACTGTATTAACAAGTTTGATCACATGTACCTGTCCTTGTCCCATTTGTTCAAATGTATTGTGGAATATTTGCTCACTGTTTCCAGTTCCTATAAGGTGATCAGTCATCTAATGTGGTCATTAAAATTCTGGTCAGAAACAACAAAATCTTGGTGTCTTCTTAAATTTCGTGTTTAAAACTTGGAAAGTTAAGCTTACCATCTCATCTGGTATGGTACCCGTAACTGCTCGATAAAGTTACATGTAATGACAAAGTTCGTAACAGAAAATTAGTCAGTCTCAGCCATCAAAATTGGGGAAGGAAGTAAAAGGATTAACCACGAACATTTCAGCACACAATCAATCATAACCAGCAAATTTGACAATCTAGTTAGTTACTGAAGCATTTTGAACCTGAAATCCTTCGTCTTTCCACAACTTCACGATACTCATCTTGAATTCTTTCACAAAGGTTCTGAAACACGATACGAGGATAAGAAGAGAAGGTAAACAACTATATCAAATAATAACAAGGAGAGATTCAAAATACCTGAAATTCTATCATGAGTTCCTCCAACTTTTTTGTCAAGGCGCTACCATTCAAAACATAAACTCTACCATAAGGAACAGTATCATTCCAAAAGAATCATTCAAGATTAAAAACATTTATTGGCAGCTAACTTTGTCATGTTCATTCTTGCTCTGTCAATGGCGCTTCCCTTCTGACATCCAGGAAAATACCTATGGAGTATGTTCTGAAGAGGAGAAAATTCATTAACATGCAACTGCTCTTTAAATTGAAGTGAACCTCCTACAAAAAGAATTGAATAAAAATTGGAAAATCTTGGAGCAAGTCCAGTATTACATCTATAGTTGTAGCTTCCAGCTTCCCTTTGACATTACGTGCAATCTTACCCACATCATCGATATCCTTTTCCATCAGCTTCTTGATAGCTGAAATGATAAGAACCCTTAGAGACAACAGATCATCTAATTTGGTACTAAGATTCATATAAATGCTCAAGTAAGAAAAAACATTCACAATTGATGAAATTATCTTATTATGGAGCCTTGTGGAATGTGAAACCTCTGCATAAGTGGTTTGTATAGGCTACATGCTTAGTTGGTTGGTCAAAGCTTAACCAAACTCGTAGATAAGTACTTCAAAAAATAAATTCCAATACGTTTTTCTTTGTGCCACTCGATGTAAGATAAGGAGAAACATTTACCTTTTATCTCCAAGGCCTTTGTAAGAGACTTTGATTCCTCGTTAGCATCCTTTAATAAACTTTGGAGTCATTCTGCAGAACTCGTTTCATCCAAATCCAGAGATATACGAAATGAAGTGACTGTACATACCTTCAGTTTAATAAGAAGCCCGGAGAGCTTATCCAGTTGTATCTCAGTCTCTTGTATCTGAATTCAAAGAAGAGAGGAAAAATTAGGTAAGAAAAATGAAAACTAGAAGGATGACTATAGAAGAGCAAAACTAAATCCCATAAGTGTACAGGGAGAGGAGTAACAAAAATCAAATGACATTACCCAATGAGTTCACCTGCTCATTCCAAACCTCCATTCCCAAGTCGGAATTTCTCTGCAGAACTTGCATTCCCTTCTTGAGACCAATTTCCTTGGAAGCCTGACCTTTGGCATCGCTGACGAACGGTTCCTTGGATTAAGAACATGACAACACACCAAAAAAGATCATTGATTAGCTGATTAGTCAAGCAAGTCTTACTATTAGAAGAGAAAATGAATTCACAAGAACTAGTAACAATATCTCGAGGCCTCTAGTACTAAGGCTTTCTGTAATTATGGTATCTCTCAAATTTTTGCCCAACTAGGAGTTCTTTTGGTAACCCCTTGGCTTCTGGGGATACCTCATCTCCCTTCAAGTTAAGTTTCTTACAAAAAGGGAAAAAAAAGGATTTTAGAAATGGTCATCCTTACTTCCGTTTCTTAAAAAGTTGCAATGATGGTATAAAAATGAGTGAAGATGAATATGAAGTCTTTGTTAAATGATCACCCTTGGAACTTGCTAACTGCCAAGTACAGCAACGAATTTGAAACCATTCAATTCTATGAAATAAAGGAAATGAAACCATGCTCTGGTTACAAGTTTATTTAAAATTTTCAGAAACAGAAGATTAAAAACTTCCTTGCTTAAGCACTCTATTCATTTTTCAACATTAACCTCAATAAGAGGCATCTTTGACTCAAAGGGAGACGAGAACTCCAAGAGTTTCAAAATCAGCTCTTTCCAGTCCCAAAAATTACAGGAAATACACAAATGAAAGAACAAGTTACCGTGAACAACTCGTTCATGTCGATCAAAATCATAGCTCCACAAAGAGGAAAACAAGAGGGAAACGGAGAGCGGAGATTAAAGAATACAATGAAATTACAAAAGGGAAATCGAGGAAGAACGGGTTTACAATGTTTTACGTTTATACTGTGTTGACCAGACTAGGCCAGGCCGTAGAAGGAAGAGGAAAACCCGAAGCAAAAAGCAAAGCAGTTACTGCATTACAATACATTTATACCTTTCTGAGTGTTATAATGAACTCTCTTCGTTTTTCTTCTGCAATTTTTTTCAGGGTTGTCCGTTTGCTATTTCAACCTAAGATTTTATTCTTCATCTTCATTTTTTTTTGTTTTCTTTTAAATATATATTTTTCTTTTCTAGTACAACAGTTCATCTTTATTTTTTCCTTTTCCTCTTCAATTAAGTTATTTTTAGTATAATATTACAAATAGGTTTACAAAAATATAAATACTAAAATAAAATAAATGAAGCTTTTTTTTTCCTTTTGCCTTTTTCCTTTTCTACCGTTGCTTCTTGAGTTTAACATAGAAGTAGTAAAATATAATAACAATCTTCTTCTTAAATAACATTTTTTTTAGTCCAATGAGACTAATTGAGCTAGCTAAGTTATATTTTTTTAAAGTAATTTTTAACATAATCCATATCTCTTATATTTGGCATAACTCGTGAGAAGTGTTAAATTATTTATTATTTATTATTTTTTTCCCGTTAAATTATTAAACTACAACAAATTAAAATAATAACCCAAATATAAATAGAAAACTAAAATAATTACCCGCCCTTTGTAGAAATGATTCTAACTTTCTTTTTTTTTTCTGATTTCAATTTTACATTCTAAAATGAAACCAATTTGAGACAATGTCATAATAATTATCTCAAAGTAAGGTAGAAAGATTAATTTGTTTAAAATATTAATTTGAGATTTGAATTTTTCCACGTTCAATTACCTTTGTGAAAAGAAAAAGGAGTTGCGGGTCGATGGACAAAACGAGTTTAATAATTAAGGCTTTGTTCAACAAACTACTTATTATTTTAGTAATACTGATAATTTCTCAATTATTTTATAGTTTATGAAATTTTAGTAAAATACAAAGAACGAAAACCGAGTTTAATAATTAAGGTTTTGTTCAACAAACTACTTATTATTTTAGTAATACTGATAATTTCTCAATTATTTTATAGTTTATGAAATTTTAGTAAAATACAAAGAACGAAAACCAATTTTTGTTTCTGAAATAAAATAAGCTACCAAATCACATTCTGGCTTTGCTTCTATGAATTCAGAAAACAAAATATATATATCTATAGAATTAAAATTTGTAAGGTGAAGGAGCTGAAGATCTCTACTAGCAGTGAAACTGAGTTCACTTTTCTAGTGCCATTGCCACCATTTACTTCTTCCACGGCTTCAAAACTGAGAGGACGATTATGATTGCAATAACCAGGAGCAGAATGATGGAAATCATCATGCATTTTCTTGATTTCCTTTGCAAGCTCTTTGCTGTCTGGAGTGCATCAGTCCCTGACCGAACATGGTCGACTGCGTTCGTCACCTACGTCAAAAGGAGTTGCAGCAGTTTCAAAACAACTTCCAACTTAATCAACTATGAAAAGGCTAGAACTATCAAAACTATTATACAACAGCAATTCAATTATGAATAGAAGAACAATCATCCATTTCTTAGGCAACTTCAGCAGTTCCTCTACATTTCGAGATGAAGTCGTGGATGAGATCCAACTGACATCGAGTACTGAACGATGAACACTCATTTCTGGGATAAGGGAATCTCTATCCATACCAGGACTAGTTAGAAGTAGGACCAACCTGATTTTCAATGTTATCCAAAATTTCAGCTTGGGACTCCACTAAAACTGCCATGTCAAGGTATATCTGGCCAAGAAAAACAGAAACACACATCAAACTACTGGGAATAATCCTACCTTATTCTTCCACAGAAAATAAACAAACCTGATGCAATTCCGAGAGCCTTTTCTCAATTTCTTTAACTGCGTCGTGTCGCTCTTGAATTTCTTCCACAGCACTGATGACCTGCGTCGATGTCATCAATTGAGTAGGAATCATGCCAATGAAACAGAAAAGATGGAGGTACTATATTGTTGAGTTTGAAGCTATAGTTTCTGATGCAAGATAAATCTAACTGAAACTGTATTTATGCTCTACCTGTCCTCGTCCCATTTGTTCAAACGCGTTCTGAAATATTTGCTCACTGTTTCCAGTTTCTATCAGGTGATCAATCATCTAATATAGTCATTAAAATTCTGGTTACTTGAAAGTTCAGGAGTTTAGGTTTGTTTTTAAATTTCAAGTTTAGACTTGAAAGTTCAGCATACCGTCTCGTCTGGTTTGGTACCCGTAACTGCTCGATAAAGTTACACCATGACAAAGTTCATAACAGAAAATTAGTCAGCCTCAGCATCAAAAGTGAGGAAGTAAAAGGATAACCATGACATTTATGCACACAATGAATCAAAACCAGAAATTTTGACAATGTAAGTAGTCACTGAAGCATTTGAACCTGTAATCACTCGTCTTTCCACAACTTCGCGATACTCATCTTGAATTCTTTGACGAAGGGTCTGAAAAACAGTACAGGATTAGAGGAGAAGGTAAACAATCATGTCAAACTAATAACAAGGAGAAATTAAAAATACCTGAAATTCTATCATCAGATCCTTGAACTTTTTTGTCAAGGCACTGCCATTCAAAAAGTAATTCTACTATGAGGAACATTATTACCAATCCAAAACAAGCATTTAAGATTAAAATGTTTATTGGCAGCCAACTTTGTCACGTTCATTCTTGCTCTGTCGATAGCTGTTCCCTTCTCGCATCCCGGCTTCTGCCTATTTGTTAAGTTCTGGAGAGAAGAAAAGTGCATCAATATGCAACTGCTCTTCAAATAATTGTGAGAACTCCAACAACAAAGAAGCAAAAACAAATCTGGAAAATCTTGGAGCAAGTCCAGCATTACATCTTTATTTATAACTTCCAGCTTCCCTTTGACATTACGCGCGATTTTTCCCACTTCATCGACATCCCTTTCCATCCGCTTCTTGATAGCTGAAATGACAAGAAAACTTGTGTAATTTGGTACTAAGATTGAAACAAATTCTTAAGAAGTACGAATAAGGCGCAGTCACGATTGACGAAATTATTTTATCATGGAGCTTTGTGAAATGTGGTCCAAAGTTGTAGATAAGCAATTCGAAAAAAAAAATTCCATTCATTTTTTCCTTGAGCTACTCGACAGAAGATGAGGAGAAACATTTACCTTTCATCTCTGATGCTTTTGTAACAGACTTTGATTCCTCGTTGGCATCCTTTATAAAAGTTTGTGGTCGTTCCTCAGAATTCAGTTCATCTAGATTCAGAGATTTACGAATCAAACTCGAAGTTACTCATACATACCTTTAGTTTAATAAGAAGCCCAGAGAGCTTATCTACTTGTATCTCAATATCTTGTACCTGAATTCAAAGAAGAGCAGAAAAAGTAGGCAAGGGAAATGAAAACTAGAAGGATGACTATAAAACAACATAGCTAAATCCCACAAGTGTACAAAGGAGGAGAAGAGTAAAGAAGATAAAATAAAATTACTCCATGATTGCACCTGCTTATTGAAAGCCTCCGTTCCCATGTCAGAATTTCCCTGCAGAACTCGTGTTCCCTTTTCGAGATCAATTTCTTTGGAAGCCTGATCTTTGACATTGCTAACGAACGAGTCCTAAATTAAGAACATGATAACATATCATAAAAGATCTTTGATCAGCTGATTAATCAAGTTAGTTCTCCTAATAGGAAGAGGACGGTAATATAGAAGATGTAATAACAATATTTCTGAATTCAAATTGGATTTTAGAAACAGTCATTCTACATCTCTGAATTACAACTATTAAAACTGAATATTATGGTATACAAACGAATGAGAATGAATAAGAAATCTCTGTTAAAAGGTCATCGTGGAATTTGGTGACTTCCAAGGACAGCAACCAACTTGAAGCCAATCAATTCTTTTGAAATGCAAAAAGAGCAGGAACAAAACTCAACAACGCAGTTCCATTGGCTGCCTAAAACCAGTTATAATATTTCCCATATCAAGTTAAAAGAAGAAGTGGGAACCCTCTCAAAAGGCTCAAATTCAGAAACTAACCAGACAGCCAAAACCACAGCTATTAAAAAAATAATAATAAAAGCAGACAACAAACACCCAAAAGCTCTCACAGAAACACAGAGCCCAAAGTTTCAACATCCACTCTAATCAAACCCAAAAAAACTACAGATAACCCACAAAGCATAGAACAAATTACCGTGAGCAAATCGTTCATCTCGAACAAAGTCACAGCCCCACAGAAAAACAAAAAGAAAAAAGACAGCAGAATCGAGAGGGGAGTGTGTAGTATAGAATTACAAAGTGGAAGCAGATAATGGGTGAACCAGGAAAGGAAAGGGGCAGGAAAATTGAGGAAGAATTGCTTTTTGGGTTAAAAAATTTATAATGTTTTACGTTTGTTTTGTACAATGTTGGGCAAGCCAGGCCGGCCGGCCGTGGGAGGGAGAGGGAGACCCATAGATGACAAGAAACGGACATAGCATATAGCACAACGCAAAGGCGGTTACAAACTTACAGTACAATAAAATACAATCCATTTATACGTTTGTGAGTATTTTATGAACTCTCTTCGTTTTTCTTCTGCAACTTTTCTTTAAAGCTTCTTTCGAGGTTTTCGAGCTGCCCTTTAAGCCGGGAATTGGGAAACAGAAGCTTCGAGGTTTGTCATCTTTTTGTACCTTTCTGCTTCGAGGTTTTTTTTTATTTAATCTTAAATTTCTTTTGCATTATGTTACTTTTTTTTTTTCCTTAGCTTCTTAGTTATGATAAAATTATAGGTTAGGTTTAAATCATTTTTTGTCATTTGCTTTATATATGTTTTTCTTTCTATTTTGTTCAATTTACTGGTATTTTGTTTAATTTACCTTCTAAATATATTTTTTAATTTTTTACTTTTAGTTTGTGTCTATTTCACTCCAAGTAATTTTATTTTAAAATGTCAATTTGAATCTCTATATTTTAAAAGAATTATTGTTTACTTTGTCATTTTTTTACAGAATTATGATTCATTCCACAATCAAAACCTCGTAATAGAAAATTATTGTAATACTTTAATAAATTTTTAAAAGTAAAGTACTAGTACTGAAATGATAACTTTTTAAAAGTTTTAAAAATTCGAAAAAAATAGACAAAATCAAGTATAGTAATTAAATATAATTTAACTTATTATTTAAATCATATTTTAGTCTTTAAAAGTTTTTTACTTTTTTTTTAAATGTGGGCTTCTGGGTCAGCTTGCATAAATCTCTTATAAAAAATTATCTTGATTCTACAACATTTTGTGTCGGAAAACAAATAAAAATTACTAATTTTTAAAGTAGGTGGTGCCGAAAAACACAWAGTTTCTGACTTTTTCTATTATGATATTTATGAACCAAGTATCTCTCTTATCTATCTTACCTCTTGGATTTTTATTATAACAAATAATTTAGGATCCGTTTGATGACTATTTCATTTTTTCTTTTTGGTTTTTGATTTTTAGTTTTTGAAAAATATTTGACAACCAATTCAATTTTCTGTTTTTTGTTTTTCAAAAACCATTTTCAAATTCTATGTAAATTTAAAAACAAAAAAAAAATGTTTTCAAAAACAGGTTTTTATTTTTCAAAATCTCATTTCTTCTCCTTAACACTCAACATTTTTTTTCATATTTATCTTTAAAAATTTTATTTTTCATTCTAAAATTTTTTTATTTCTAAATTTCTCTCTCCAAATTTTATTTTTATCTCTCTAAAATTTTCTATTTTGAATACAATTTTCATATTTTGAATATTTATTGTTATTCAGAATGTTTTGTATTTTTGTTTTTTTTTTCTAAGGATCAGTTTCATTTCTCTTTCTAAAAATTTAATATTTTCCTAATTTTTTTCTCTTGAAAATTTCATATTTTATAAATTTTATGTCTCTTCGTAATCTATTTTTTCTTCTAAAAATTATATTTTATTTTCTCGTTTAATTTTCTTTCACGGTAACTTTTATTTATCTTTGTATTTATTTATTTTATATAAAAATTATATTTTGAATCTTGTTTTTATCTCTAAATTTGTTTCCACTATAATTTTTCTCTTTCTTTATAATTTCTTTTTTTTCTTTAACATACTTTATTTTTTTCTCTAAAATTTTTCTCTTTTTGTCTTTAACTTTTTTTTTCACTATTTTTTCTAAATATTTTTATTTATCTCTCTAAAATTTATCTTCCAAAAGTTTATTTATATCTCTATTTTCATGTCTCTACACTAGGGAAATGACAAAAATTTCCGTAAGGTCGGGTCCCAAAAATAGAAAATGCTCGTCCCGACCCTGTCCTCGATTCCATTTTTTAAATAATTAATATATATATATATATTACACTTTTTTATATTTAAATTCTAAAAATAATTAAAAACATTTATAAAACCAATAATTTTTCTCGATGACATCTCTCGGAACCAAGAATGAAGTGGAGACGGTGACTAAAAATTTTAAACTAAATGACATTTTAATCGGTTTTAATATAATTTTAAACTTTGAGACTTTAAATGACATTTTAATCAAAATTTAAAATAAAAAACAAAAAAATTAATCACATATTAATTAAATTTTACAATATTAATAAAATAACAATATATAAATTAAAATATAAATAAAATTAATTAAAAAAATAAAAGGTGGAAGTCGCGTACAATCAAAAATAAAAAAATAAAAATGTGAGAGTCGTGGACAATGTACGCGATTTCCGCCTAATCACATGATACGTCAGATATACACGTTTGCACGGAAATCGTAGGCATTGTCCGCGAGTTTTGACCTAACCTATTTTTGTCAATAGTTTTGAAAATATAACTTACGTTTGAATTTATTTATTTAAATTACATTTATTTTGTAGTTATTTTTAGACTAACATTATTTTTGTAATTTATTTTTAAAATTAGATTGTTTTAAAACTTTTTCATATGAAGAATGAAAGTTTGATTTTTTAAATTGAATTTATTTATAAAAGCAACTGTAAATATATCATTTATTATAAAATAATTGCAAAAGGTAGCAAAATTTTAAAATGAGCAAATCAGTCAAAGCGGCAGGGTTTCAGTTTGTTAATAAAATTTTGTGGGCCTGGATTCAGCAGCCCAAATCAGTTCGGTACCCTATAACAGGGAGAAATTTGCAGAAATGCCCATTTGTAATATTTCATAATCAAAATCCAAAACTACCCCAATACATTTTCTTATTTGGTATTTTTAATAAATATTATATAAAAAAAGTTATTGATTCATGTTTCTTCTTTTAATAATAATTCAACTGCCATTTTAAGTTTAAAATCTTCTATATTTACACAATATCATTCTTGAAATATATAAAAAATATTGTGAAAAATGGTTAAACTTAGATAAACAAATAAATATCATGAGACAATATTAAAAACTATATAGAATGAAATGATATATGTGGATGAAATTATGTATATAAGAAATCAAAACTTTAAATGAGGGATTCATTGAACCCACCCCGATTTTTTGTTTTTTAATGTGCACTTTTTAGCAATGATATGATCTAATATTTTAAAATTAAATGGTTAGTAGCTAACTAATTATTCCAAAGAATGGAATTGAAAAAATTATTTGTATAAAATTTAGCAAATACAGATCCATCCACATTATGATTAAATGTAGCCATGTAGAAGCACATGGTTTATGATACATTATATTTTAAAAAAGGGAGACTAAATCAATGTTGGACAAAAGGAAGGCCTAATTCATGGGTTATATTGGGTTTTAAATTAATAAAATGGGAAGGAAGGAGTGCATTTTAAAAAGCTTGGCCAATAATTAATTGTGTTAATCCATCCAGTTTAATGATGATCCGCTTCTAAATTCTCCATTTGCATCACGGGTTTGTCTTAAACAAATTAGGTATTTTTTCTTTTTAATTTCTCTTATGTGATATTTTGCTAAAGTCAATATAACAAATATACCAACCAAAAATGGCAAAAGACAGAAGATCCCATTTATTTATTATTTTTTTCGACTATAGGATATAAATTAACAACACACATTAAAAGAAGTCAGTGGCTCACGTATGCATGAGACCAATAGATTCAAGGTTTCCTTCTCCAATGGCCACTGTGCGAGTTCACCTCTATTGCCATATTTTCTACCGTGTTAGAATCTTGAACACTCTAACTTCAAGTGCAAACTGTTTGGCCTCCACTATACCCCAACAGATTTGGGAGTAGTTTTCTTCCTCTCCATTCAACAACCAAACAACTTCAATGCAATCCATTTCATCTATGTACAGGTAAATTTGACCCTCAATTAAATCCTTTAAAACCTTTCCTCAGGGCTTGATTCTCTAATAATTTAATTTCTCTCTTTCTTGTGATGAAAATACACCCAACGCGTTCAATTTTTCTCGTACAAGACCGAAGAATCCTCCCAGCCTCATTTTTGTTGCCAAAAGGTCCATTCCAACGGCAACCTTTTTATATTATTATTATAAATGACTTGAACACCAAATTTGATAGCATTGACTAGGGTTCGAATACAAGACCTTGTGATAGGTGGTACCGCAAAGTCATATGTTCTTGGCCATTCTAAGAATAGAGAAATTAATTGAAGTTTTTAAATTATAAATTGCAATATAATTCAATTGCAAGTGATGATTAAAAAGAATTATTTTATTCATGTTTGATACAAATTTCAAATTCATTAATTATAGATTATTATTATTACTTTTTTTTAATAACAAAACACGGAAATAATTGTAGAAAATAGTTTAATTGAGTGAACTGCAAAGTTAAGATTGATATTACAAACATAAAAAAACCCTTATATATAAATATATAAATATATTATACATTTTTTTTAAAAGGATATATTATACACCTAAATGATTCGTGCATAATTTATATAGTCAAACAAAAGAATAAAACCTTCTTACACTAGAATAAGATGAAATGTTTAAGTGAGTAGACATTGAATTTTTCTTTTATTTATTTATTTTTTTGAGTACGCAGAGTAGAAATACACCTCAGGGCTTGAATTATGTTGTCAATTATACCTGTAAGTTTTTTTTTTATTAATTTACAATATTATTCGATTTTGATTATACAGTTCATGCCTTCTCCTCTCTCAAAATGGCCAAGAAACACTCGAAAAAAATGGGGAAAAAAGAAAAACCGAGAAACCGAGAGATAATTAAAAGAAATTAGAGAAATTAATATTCAATTAAGTAAGGCGTGACAATGAATAATCTTCATAAATATTTACAATAATTAATGGGCAACATTAATTAATGATAGGCACTCACCCACAGGCCACAAATCACTAATCCCAAAACTATATGATAATTAATGAAACAGTGCCCCACTAAGTATCTATCTATCCACACATTAATTTGGTCTAATTTAATTTACATACAAAAACACAGAATTATATGCCAAAAGCTCAGCATTATTTTTTACAAATGGAGAATGGTGGACCCTAATGTTGTTCTCTTGGGGAAAATATTTGGCAAATCCCTCCCCATGCCATGTGAAAGGCAGGCCTTCAAACTATGTCTTATTGTTCATTAATTCACTTAATATCAATACTTTACTTTAAAATCGTACTAAAAAAAACTTTACTTTAAAATCAAATTTACAAAATAGTAACATAGATTCAGTTTCCACTCCCATGTATATATATAGTTTTAACTATAAAGAAGAAAAAAATAAAAATCCAATTTCTAAATCTGTTACCAAACTTATATTTAAAACTACTTAAACATTTTTAAAATTTTATTCAGATCAGGATCGTGAGAAGTTCAAATATATGTACCAGTGTGTCCAAATATAAATATAAATGAATGAAAAGGAAATTAAAATGAAAACAAATTTATGAGTGGGTACGTAGGTAGCTAGGTGTAGGTAGGGCTGAATAAATTCGAGTGAGAAATTGGAAGTAAATTGAATCACATCATGATTGGTAGTGAAGTAATGCGATGGATCACCGAACTTTGAATTGCTAATCAATTTAGGATCCAGCGAGAGAGAATAACATGCAAAAGCTTATCCAATTAAGTTGGTAATTAACTGTTATTTAATTAATGTCTTAAAAGAGCCAACCATATTAACGATTTGTGACACTTTGATGTGACAGTGGTGAACCAGGATCAATGTTTTCAAATTAAAAACACACACACAGCTGCCTTTTAATCTAACCCCATTTACTTGCTTCAAATTGATTTTAAAACTCCTCCAATTGGGATAAGACCATTTTATTTTTCAAACCAACTTCACAATCACTCGAGATTCTCTGGGATTTATTTTCAAACCCAAAAAAGGGTAGAGTTTTGTAATGTTGTTCTTGTCTAGGGTTTAACACCAAATTTATGTGAGTTTTGCCGACATGTTAAATTTTTCACCGACATATTTACGCGTGTGTTATTTGAGACATGTTTGACATAGTGTACATTTCAAATTTCAGATTTAAACTAGGATTTAAAATTTTAGATTTAATAATTTTGTGTGATATGAAATATACGACATGAAATACATTTAATTATATATTTTTTAGTGAATAAATTACCAAAAAGAGAAAATTACACTTTATTGGTATAAATTGTTTTTATTTATTTATTTATTTTTTTGAAATATTTCTTAACCATAGATATACTATCCTATTCTTGAACGCTCTCTTCCAAGTCAAAATTACCTCTCTCATTTTGATTCCGTTGGTGTGTCGGCCCATTCCATGTATGTTTCTAAGCTTTGAAACTAACCAAGAGTTGTTGCTTGTTTATGTCTTTTTAATGCACTTTACAATCATTCAAACCCTACTTTTGTCCCTGGTTTGAAATTATATCATTTTAAAATGTTATCCAACAAAATAACTTTATAAAAATTACATGATTCAATTAACATATACCTCATAGAAATGATATATTTTTTTTCTTATTTTAGAAAGAAAGCTAGTCTATTTTCTTGAAAAAGAAGATAAATTAAATTATAATTTTAAATCTATAATAACTTTCATAATTATGGTTGATTGAAGTAATTTTATTTGTTTAGTGTACCCATATTTTTATAAACACCCTTAATTTAGTCTTCTAATATTGATTATCTAAGTTAAAACAGTCCTGAAAAACTAATGTAATTAAAATGCTATATATCAAGCTATAAGCTAATCTCTTAGTTGTACCATGACATAAATCATATCGTTGCAAGGTATTAATTAAAAGTTAATGCAAGTCCAACATGACCTCATGTCATTTTCAACTTGGGTTGTTAATTAACGTTGAAGACTAAATTAATGATAGAACAAAAAAATAGATAGATAAAAAACATAGCCAATTATGTAGGTGTACCCCATAAGAATTCATAAAATTTGAATTATCAAGAAGGCAACTATACATTCAATAACACAAACAAGAAAATACAAAACAAAAGAGTGATGAAATTGGAACAATGGACAATTCACATAAGCAAAATTGAGGATTGTCAACATCAAATTAGACGTATGCTTGAAGAATGCTCTCATCATATATACCATAGTTTTAATTCATAGTCGATAGTCCCTTTTAATTAAATGTAAGAAATATGCATGCACTTTTGCACGCCACATTTCCATTTTGGCATTTTTTGGACACAAATTATTACATCTTTATCCATTAAATTATTGATTTCGAAATGCTTTTTGTGAAATAAAAATTTGGAAAGAACTATAATGTTCAATAATTTAATATTGTTACAACACAACATTCATGAATTTTCCTCTTTCTATAACCGCTTGGCCTGCCGATTCCCAATCAATCGTTTTGTCCTCAATATTTGTCATTATCATCTTCTCCTTCACGAATTTCTTTACAATATTATTATTTTTTTATTAGCAATTAATTATAATTAAAAAAATGTTAATCATATTAATAATACTTGTTAAAATACCATTAAAGTCAAAAGTTTAATTTGATATACTACGGTATTATTTAATACGATATCATAGTATACCCTAACCTAGCTAGTAATTATATCATGGAATTCTTTTGCCTTCTGTAAAATCCTTTTTAGTCTAGATATTAGGCTTTTATTTAATTATTAGTAAATATGGAAGAGACATAATTAAGCGAATCACGAAAAGGAGAGAGAAGTTTATTGTAGAAAAAGAAGTTAATTAAAGAAAATTATATGTGAAAAACTGAGAAAGTAAAAGTCGTAGGTGGAAAAATGCTAGTGAAAAAAAGATATAGAAAAAGGAAAATAGTTAAATAATTGAGATAAAGAAATGAGTGAAATTTATATAAGAAAACGTTTGCAAATATTCAGAACTCTAATAAATAGCTATAGTTACTTTTCGTTTTATGCACATTATTAGTAAAATTATTTTTAAAAAAATACCTTTCACACTTATTTTAAAAAAATATAATATGAAAAGTATTATGAGATCAGTAGCTTTATATATTCAATACAAAATTATAATGAATAGCTAGAAGTACATAAAAGAATAACCCTCTTTTCTCAAACATGTATTAAATAATTATTGAATTTTAATTAATAAATTATTAATTATCGGTGTTACAATAATAATTGTATCGTATCCAATAAAACATGAAAGTATAACTAATAAAATATGTCGCAAAGTATGTTTTATTTTTCATGAAAAATATATATTACTAATTAAATAAAGACTTTTTTATATTACAAGTCACATACATACTCAAATTGATGTAATGTGTTGATAATTTAACATATTAATTAATTGTTTGCTATAAGTTGATAATTTGACACATCAATTATGATATATTATCACTAACTTGTTTTTATTTTTGAAATTTACCTACAAATTAATCTTGAATATTTTTTATTTATAGTGATGGGAAACAATTTTTTTAGAAAAAGTACAAATATATTGTGTTAATGTAGTCTTTTAGTTTAAAAAAAGAACAGTTTTTTAGAGCTATTTTAAAAAGAGAAAAACAAAACTTATGGCCTGCAAGAGATTGAGTATTGTATAATGATCTTTATTATAAAACAACAACAAACAACCGATCTATTAAATTACCATTATTTTCGATTTTCTATTTGACATTCGATACCAACGGTTCACAAATTTTCTCAATTAAAAATACAATGAGTTTTTTTTTTTTGGTTATTCAATATTACGTAGGATTGCATAAATATTCTCTCTTCTTTTTAAAAAAATAGCGCCCCAAGAAATGATTATATGGAAAATGGAAGGAGCAGATAATTGAATTAATAAAAATAATATAAATAAATAAATAAAAGGATTTGGCTCTTATATATATATAAAATATAATATATAGGTAGAGGCGTAGAGGTAGTTTGATTTGAATCGTGCAGCACACTCGAGTGTCAACGGTGTGATTGGTGGTGGAGATGGGGCCCACGTTCTGTTGGAAAATTAAATTTGCAACCTTACTTTCACGCTAATTTGGATTTTAATAGGGCCATAATTGCGCCTATTCTGCTCATTTAATCTTATAATTACCCGTTTCATAATTAAATCCTCAAATTGGGCAGAATTTACTTTCAAGTCCAAAATTGTAGCGTTATGAGGGTCAAAAAAAAAAAACGGTAAGTTTATTATGAAATTAGTAAATTAGTAATTTGAGATACACATACAGAGTAAATATATATAAGATGGAGCATAAAAGGCAAGGTGTAGGTGGTAAATTACAAGGAAAATAGTATAATTTTAATTTTTGAGTATGATATAGAGAGAGAGTTAATTAGTGTATGGACATCAGGGCAAGTAGTTGGCGAAGATGGACAGAGGAACCAAGCACAGGCCTCTTTGTTTCAAGTCTGTATATGCAGCACCCATCTCCAAATTGATTTCTTCTTCTGATTTATTAATACTAAATTTCTCTCCCATCGTCCTCCCCTTTCCCTGTCCCAATAAAACAACAAACGAAATTCCATTATTTCCCAAAAAAAAAAAATCACTTCTATTGAAACAAGATGATCAATTACCTACCAGAGAACTCTTTCTTCGATAATTATTGTTGGCACCCAAATCAGCAACCTACAGAGAAACAGAAAAAGAATTTCAAATTAAAGAAAATAATTGTTTTGGTTTTTGGTTTTGTTTGGAGGTAGAGGTTGAATTTGTTGACCTTGGGGCTATTGTGAGGGGAACTGGCAGTATCTTCGAGAGAAGTATCAACAAAAAATTGAGATGGCTTTGGCTTTGGCTTGAGACTCAATTTGCTGGGAATGTTGAGGTGTGCGGCGGCGGCGTGAGAAGCGGCGTCGGAGAGCAGGGAGGAGGTTCCGACTCCGAGGCTGTAGGCGTCTTCGTCGGAGGGGTCGTCGAGCAAATAGGCGGTCCAGCCGCTGTCGTCGGCGGAAGGCAATGGGTGCGGGATTTGGATGGATGAATAAACCGAATTCTCCTTCTCCATCTATTTTTTTTTTTTTTCTCTGAATTGGACTTGGAAGTTGGAAGTTGCAAGTTGGGGCGAGAGCGAGAGCGAGAGTTCTAATTTTAATTTGGATGCAAAGAAAATTGGGAGTGGATGGAGAGATTTTATAAGTGAAATTGGAGGAAAGCATGACGCCTTCAGAATCTGGGGGTGTGGGCCATCCAACTTATTCATCTACCACTCACACACACAACACCACAGGGTCTTATGAATTTGAATTCTTTGTAATCATCCAATGGCACGGCGGTGGTTGATCTTTCTGCTTTTTAATTTCAATTCTTCCTACGAATTTTAGAATTGTGTCTGACGAACACTATTCATTTGAGCTTGCCCTTATATTTTACCTTTTATTTATTTATTTATTTTTAAGTGTTGAGGGAGAGATTCGAGTCGTGGAACGTTAGGGATAGTAGCGAGGTGCAAAACCACAGACGGTTAGAAACGTACACTGCACGTGCGTACAAGCGTGTCATCACTAGAGCTGTACATATAGAGCGATGAGGGAGGGCTGCCTCACCCGTCAGAACTCCGTACAACCCGATGTGCCTCTGTGTCCATAACCATTGTCCTTCCTGGTCAGCTATTCGCACCTATAAAAGGGAATTACCTCCTCACTACCAAGTTATTGAAAAATTTATCACTAAATCCTTAAGGTGTTTACTCCTATTTCCTTTTGCTCCGATTACAGGACACTACACCGACGTCGAATTTTTTTGTTCCAGTTTCATTTGCCCTTTGGTGACACACGCTCTGGAGGACACTTGAACCTCTCCAAAATTCGCCGTCAACAATAAATTTTTCCTTTTATTAATGGGATGGAGAATCTAAGTCTTTTTCAAATGTATTAAAGATAAAAATAAATAATTATATATAATGTGACATCTAAAGTCTTGGAGGGATGAAGAGTCCAAAGTTATTTTCAATGTGTTATTGATGTTGTAATTTTGTTTCTATTAATGGAAAATTTACACAATTTCATATTTGTTTGAAGGTTATGTTCTATTTGTACTCAAAACATGATAAAATACCCTCATATATGAATATTCTAATATGTTTCTTAAAAATAAATATTTAAGCAAGTTGAGTTTATTAATTTTAGAACTGATTTGCGATGTTTCTTTTATCTTTTCTTAACAAATTGTAGATATTATTTGAAATATATGTTATTTCTATTCTCTAGAAAAACCTCTCTCAAGATAATAAATGAAGCTTTGATCATTTGGGCTCCAAATGGGCCCTTTGGATTGTAGAGACAAAACACAAGAAGTCCGAAGTGAATGAAACATGGGCCAGCGGCTCTCAGATTTATACATAAATTGTTTAATTTAATATCTACCTATAATTTTCTTTTTATTTTGAGTAAACACGTGTGGAGATTTAATTTGTTAGAAACATTTTATTAGTAATATCCGTTGAAATTATAACCTTCAAAATATTAGACACTTCTCTAGTTTTGTAGGTTCGGACAAAATGAGTCATAGGTACAATTGAAACTAAGTACATAGGTTAGAGGTAAAATTAAAACCATATAAATTATTTGAAAGTCCAAATTATCTATAGTTTAAATTCAACTTTGCCCCTAAAAAAACTCAATTTAATTTTTTAATTTTGTTTGGGCATTTTAACTGAAGTTGTCAATGGAGAAATCATATAAAACTAGAAGTGGTTACCACATTAATGTGAATTCTTGTTATAAAATAAATAGTTCCATCAATTTTGCCAAACTGAACCCATATTCCATTACAGATTGGGCCTGTTTGGCCCAATAAATTTGGAAGTGAGTCGGGAAAATTGAGCAGATCCCTTTGTTTTTTTGTTTCTTTTCGAAATCAAAATTTTAAGAGACTCCAGTTGGCAGTTTGTCGGGAAGATGCATATTGGATCAGGCTGCTACGTCCAAGTTTGGCTTTGACCATTGTCCGTAAGAGAAACAAAATATAATATTTTGAAACTATAATAGTTGTTGCAAATATACCCACAAACTTTTAATTGTAAAAATTAAACCCTCCAATTTAAATAATGCTTTAAATTAAACATCTATGTTAGTTAGGTTAACCTTTCGTTAAGTTCTCATTTAAAAAACAAATTGATGTTTTAAAAAATAAAATAAAACCCTTCATTAGGTTACAGAATCACCCATAACAAACACAATCTTTTCGATAGGGGGAGAAAACGAAGAGTTTTCATGATTTCTAGAAGAAGACAAAGGCAAAATCGATTTTAAACAAGATCACCACTTGAATTTTAGTTTCGATCATAATATATATGCTCGGCTTGGGAGTGTTCACCGATAAGTAATTAACTTGAACAACAAGAATCGTGCATAAACAATGTCGTGACGTCGACAAACAAAAACTAATTTTGTGAGATTTCTTCTATAAAAATTATAAAAAAAAAAAATCAGTAGTTTCATCTACTTCCACATATGAACCTCCATAAGGGAATGCACAAAAAAAATTCAGCAACCTTCCATCTCCATTTTTGCTATAATATCATGTGACTTAATAATAAAATTGAGAAGGAAAAGATAAAAATTCGGCCACGTTCAAAACTCTACCACCAAACTTATGAAAAGGAGAAAATTTAAGAGGATGATACTCGATTCGATTCTGTATTACTTACCATTGAACACTCCCAAGCGACAATACATATTATAATTGAAATTGGAATCCAAAGAAATCTTGAAAAAAAAAAAGATTTTCGTTTGTTAAGTAGTGATTTTGCAATTGAAGGACTTTATTTTATTTTTTAAAACATCTGTTTGTTTTTTAGAGGAGAACTTAACAGAAGGTTAACTAACTACCAGAGAGGTTTAATTTAAAACACTATTTAAGTTGGAGGGTTTAATTTTTACCATTAAAAGTTCGTGGGTGTATTTGCAACAACTATTATAGTTTAGGGGTCGTTTTTACAATTTACCCTAATTCTTTTGCCTAATAATACAGACGGGTAACGTTTTCACTTTTTTATTTCTATTCTCTCTACAAACAGAATTGTATGGTCCGACTTGTACTCAAACACAAAAAAAAAATATATATATATATATTGTATGGTCTAACATCTGTGAAATCAAGAAAATATTTTTATTTATATTTTAAAATAAATTAGAAATGGCAATGAGAATGTTTCTAAAAAAATAAAAAATAAAAAGACATAAATAGTAGTAAAATGCTTAAGTTTTTTTTTAATAAAATTGAGAACGAAAATATTACAAAATAGGTCCATCATGTCTACTTTATTTTTTATTTTTCTCAAAAAAAAATTGTCTACTTTCATCTAACATTTTATGAATTTTAAATGTTGTATTTTAATCTAAATTTTCTATTTTAATTTCCTCAAAAATTATATTTTAATATGGAAAATACTTTTCCTCAACAATGAGGAGGAACCTGCCTCCACACCATTAAATCTTTGACAACTCATTATTATTTTTAAAAAAATTATGTTTTTACATTTATCTCAAACATTTAACGGTGAGGATGACAATGTTCCTCCTAGTTGTTGAGGAGATTTCCATTAAAAACTAGTTTAATCTCTAATATTAAGTTTTCATAAATAGTTTTAAAAATGACTATTTTTATTTCTATTTACAAAATATTAACACGAATTTTATACCCATAAAAACTATTTAATATAAATTTATGATTATATTTTAAGTGAAATTAATATTATGTTAAAATTGTGATTGAAATAAAGGATAAAAGTGAAGTAATCGAAATAATATTTTTTTTTAATTCAAGGATTAAAATAGATGTTGCAAAAACATATTAACTAAAATAAATAAAATTTAAAAATATTGAAACTAAAATAGGATTTTGGAAATAAGACAACCAGATAAACCGTAGTGGAAATCACATAGAAGAATAGTAAAGTTGCTGAGGCATTATTTGATATTTTCACTGAGCTTATTTATTTATTTTATTTTTGGGTTAAAACTTAAAAGTCAAATATTTGTCTGTGGGTGAAAGCAACTTGCCTTGCCCTCAAGCACATGACAGCTAGTGCGAGTGAGACCTATTGCCATTGGGACCCAACCCATAACACTAATTAAGTAAACAAATTACAAAATTAAAAAAGAAATAAAGAAGAAAATGGATTATAATTAATATGTTAAAAAAATAAATTTAATAAACAAAGTAAGAGGGAAACAATTCAGGTCGATAAGAGGTGTAAGATAGGAGAAAATATGTTAATTACTGGATGGATAGAATTGATGGTTAATAATGGAGCATGATGAATTAATTAAATATTTTAATACAAGAATTTTATAAACGTGGGAGCTATTATTTTATGTTCGTTAGAATATAAGTGAGTTGTGTTGCTAACGCGAGTATAATCCAATTAATTTGTAATTTTATGCGAAATTGTAAGTTAAAATTTTCACTCCACTTTAAAGTTTTTTTTTTTTTTTTTTCTTTTCTCTCTCTTTCATGTTCTAAGAAAGAAATGATGTAGAATTAATGAAAGAATGGTCAAATTTCAAGGTCAAGGAGTCATGGGGATGCGTGTTAATGAATTTGGCCTTATCCTTTGTTGTTCCACAATACCAAGGATTTCAACAGCATTATTGTCTTCGATGCACTTCTTCAAGGAGTGGGCGTGGGTCAGATTTTTAAAATTACAAAAAGATTATTCCACTTTAATTTTTTTGGTTAAAAAGCTATCCAAACGATTTAGTTCTTAAACTTTAGTTTGTAACGATTTAATTCCTATACTTCATTTTAAATTGGTAATAATTTAATTTTTGAAATGATTTAGTATATAACAGTTTAATATTTATAGTTTAAAATTTGCAATAAATTTTTTTCTACTATGAAAAATCTCATCAAAATTAAGTGTCAATTTTTATCCTATAACGATTTAATTTTTGTAATTTATAAACATATTTATATCTCATTAGTTTATCAATCTACAAAATATATATATAAAAGAAACTTAATAAAAAAATTTTCACAATATGGACTAAATGGTTACAAACTTTAAACTCATTACCCACCTTGGCCCTAAAAAATACTACTCTGAACAACTCGTTGATTAAAGGTGTTTGAGATCGAA